AGTCTTACTTTCCCTTCATTCGCACAAAGAAGGGACGCCAAAGACCCGTACTCCTTCCTCCCCCTCCCCACCCCCCTCCCTAAGCCCACTCCCCTCCTTTTTCCTCCTCTCATTCTTCCCCCTCCCCTTTCTCCCCCACTCCCACCTCCCTCCCTCGCCTCCTCTTTCCGTCTTACTCTCCTTTTGTCTTTCATCAATAAAAAATCTTCAGTACTGTTTTGCTTGGACAATCCTGCGTCCATACTTGCGGGAAAGCGGACTGGAGACTCACTTCCACTTACATGAAATACAAGAACGCAGCGATGGAAATGAAGAAGGAGGAGGAAAAGAAGAAGAAGGGAGGAGGGGAGAGGGGAGAGGTGGAAGAGGAGAAGAAGGAAAAGAAGAAAGAGGAGGAGGAGGAGGAGAAGGGGAAGGGGAATGAGAGGAAGGAAGTAGAGGAAGAGGAGGAGGAGACGAAGAAGAAAGACGCACACAAAATATCCTTATATATATATATATATATATATATATATATATATAAATATATATATATATATATATATATATATATATATATAATGATAGTAATAATAATAATAAGATATTCACTTTCCGATGAAACTCCTAAATTTAAAAAAAGTAAACATCAACAAATATTAATTAATAAATAAATAAGTGAATTAACAACGGCAGAATATCCTTCAGGCTTTCCCTCCTGCAGCTGCCACCGCCGCGCCTCCGCCTGTGCACCCGTGCTCTCTCTGTCTCTATCTATCTATCCCCCCCCCCCTCTCTCTCTGTCCTCCTTTCTCTCTCTCTCTCTTTCCTCCTTTCTCTCTCTCTTTCCTCCTTTCTCCTTCTCTTTCCCCCTTTCTCTCTTTCTCTTTCTTCCTTTCTCTGTCTCCCTCTCTTTCCCCATTTCTCTCTCTCCCTCTCTTTCCGTCTTTCTCTCTGTCTTTCCCTCTTTCTCTATCTCTTTCCTTCTCTCTCTCTCTCTGTCTCGTTAGAGAGAGAGAGTGAATAGAAGAGAAAATCTCTAGCTATCACATCTGTCTCCTGTAAATGTTCCTGCCGTCCTCCGCACCACCAGTGCAATTATGACCATCTCCAGTTCTATCATAATATTGTTGTTCTTTCTTCATCACTATCTCCACCAATCACTTGTTATCATCGCCATCGCCGTCTTTATTTCCG